AAGAGCTGAGGATGATTTCATATATGTATACGGAGGCGGAGTTCAGCTGTGCGAGTGGGAATGTAATCGAGTGGATCGTCACGCGATATGACGTAGGAGAGCGCTTCTGTAGGAAGAAAACAAACTGGAGTCCTTTTGGGCAGGGCTGGCAAATTGTCTTTCCTTCCAAAGTATCAGGAGAGAAGCGGGTATCCTCCAATGCGTATTCGGACCTCTGGCAGGTATGGCATGCTTCATAAAGTAAAGACATCAACTGCCTTACTCTTGAACAACACAACGCTCAAAACATCTCCATAATCGTTTGAGAAGTGTGCGTGTGGCATCTGTTTATGAACGGAATGCCTCACTCCCAAATTGTGCGCACGGTTTCGAAACCGAAAGCACCCGTAAATATATTCTGATTTTTTTTTTTCGTCTGGGTCAATCAATTTGTTTAAATTTGTTTTATACTTTTGTAGTCTTTGTGCACAATGCTAAATATTTCCGGACAATTCTGGAGAGCTGGCGGTTCAGTCTCAAGCATTTGTGCGACGTCCGTCCCGATGGTCTAGATCTCGCCGTAGACCTCGACGTAGATCTCCAGGTAGATTGAAGCGAGGGTGTCCGGACAGGTCTTGAATGTGACTGTCAATATAAAGAAAACATCACCGCCTTCCGCCATAGACTATGAACTTGCACAGACGTTACACTCAAACAACCACGTTCGTCTAGATGCAGAAACCACAATTCCTCGGCTATGCTTCCGTGTCACCTGCACCGATACGTCGTTTCACCTGACATTAAATAACTGCGTTTCACTGGGAGTCGCCGCATTGGATTTCTCCCATTGAATCCTGTTGCAGTGTGAACACATTCATCTGGATCAGAGGGCGACGACAATAGCTTGGTGTTTCTATGCCCTATGAAATTCCGAGTTGGTGATGAAGCGGTAAGCCAGGTCACACTACTTTTACCTCATACAAAAGACAGTCTGCAAACTGATTTGAACGTAAGTCACCACGAGATCTGGGCTTCGAATGCAGCATGGCAACGATTTCAATTAGAAACTTGGCACGCCGCATTCGAATCGCAGATATTGCGGTGAATGATTTTCGGCAGGCTGTATTATGTATAGACCCTTTTCAAGGCAAACGCCACTAGGCGGCGTACCAGCCTTTGACGTCCCAGAGAACTTCCGGTTCATAAAAAGAATGAACAAAGCCTGTCTTTACACCGCTGCTTAAAGTGTCCATGAAACGTTTAACCACCGATTCTCCAGGTGAACGCCAAAATAACAAAGTGCGAGATCTGTTAAAATTATTAGAATATTCTTGTAAGCCAACTTGCCTCCTCCAAGACGTTAAATTGCCCAGCCGAGGGCCCTCGTTAAACATCCTACTTTTTTGTCCGTGTAGAATTTATGCATGCTTTCTAGCACAGGTGACATAAGCAAGCTCGACAGGCTTGCAAAGACGTAGCGACCGGAAGTTGCCTGGGACGCAGAAGGCAGTTCATGCTTGTAAATTGTAAAAGTGTCCTTGCATAGACAAATCTACAACTCAAGAGTTGTCTCGGCAAAGTGTCGAATCCCCGGTTCTAATGTCTGCAAAAAGAGAAAACCAGCCTATACACTTTGACGTCACGAGCAGCATAAGCATGGTTTCCTCATATCAGGAAGAGGACACAAACATAGGTTCTCGGCTCACAAAGGGCATAAGTATGTCCATTGCTCCAGCCACTTTGAAGAAGCCCTCATTTCGTCTATGACCATGCACGCGCAAAGGCGAAGGGTTCGCCCACCGCGTTTTACGATTGGACTCTCAAAACTCTCGTCACTCGCCCCCGAACGAAAGTGATCGAGCTGATTGCTATGCCTTTTATTTATCAGCTATTGATGCTATGCAGCTATTGGCAAACCAAGCACTCCGCAAAAAAAAAAAAGAAAAAAAAAAAGAAACAGCTTTAATTGTTTAGCACAGAACACAAAGGGAAATTCGGCCTTGATAAGGAGGAGAGCTATGCTATGGTTGGAAGAATTTGTGGGCAGACGAAGAAAGCTGGCCGCCCTTGTCTCCACTGCACTGGTCGAACGCGTTTGAATGCGAGAGCCAAACGCCTGACGCCGACGTTCCGGGTTATAAATGCGTTCTACGATTGCAGTGGGGACAAAGGCTGCTAGCTTCACATCTACCCACTAATCCTTCCAATCAAAGCTCGGCGTTCTGAGGTCCGTTTCGTCTCCTCCTCTCCCTCACTTTCTCGGCGCATAGCTTTTTTCTTGCTTGTCTGCAAAAACAAAAACGAGGGAAGATACACTGCAAATGAACGAAAGTCGCTTTTTTTTTTTGCTTGTTTATTTGAGCTAGGACTGGGAGGACATACACAATATAATCACCTTAAAAGCTGTGGGAATGTTACAATCGCTTAATTCCATTGATTCGAACGATTTATTCGACCTGTACCGCTATCTTTATTTTAATGCGTCTCTCGACTCTGTTGACAGGAAACTGTGCCTTTTAATACGCGTGCCACTTTCGAAACGAAACAGGCCTTGTTAAACTCGTTAATTCGTTTATTTTTTGTTGATGTGTTTATATGTTTCTTTATTCCTGCGTGCACAAATTAGAAAACGCCCTCAAACTGGTTCACGAATAGCTTTAAAAAAAAAAGAAAAGAAACACAAAATGATGGAGGTTTCCACTTTCCGATCTGGATGTTTATGCCCTCTTCTCTCCAAACTAAAATCTTGCTGACGTACTCGTGACGCCCGTGGCGACACACGTGACGCCTGCTGGACCACGTGCGTGACGCTCGAAGCATCCCAGGGACGCGGCTCTGCGCACGGGCCTCTGGTTTAGTGCTGGAACACAAGCGCGAAAAACCGAGCCACAATCGCACCCCTTTGACCGATCAGGGCTGTTTTTTTTTTTTTAAAGACAGATTTGTATGAGCAATTTTTGTATGATGAGTGGGGTGTTGGACAATATACCCGATAAAAGTATTTAAGTTAAGCTACTAAATACCTGCTTCATAAAGTATTTAAAATACTTCTGAAGTTACTTTTACTGCAAAGTTTCTTGAGTAGAGTACAAATACTTAGAAATGTAATTCAGTTACTTTTGAAGATACTTCCGCATCGCATAATTTGTATCGACGTCAGTGACAAACACAATTATACAGTTGCGCAAATCTTGTTTACCCCAGAATGGTTTATATTCACGCAACTCAACAAGACGAAGAAAAAAAGAAATCATCGTAGGTCGATTTTATGCAGTCCAACTATAAGGAGCAGGATATCACTGATACTTGTTACAAAACATATCTGGGACAAAAAAAAATGTCGCTTGATAGTGACATCGCTGAATATTACATCTCTGTGGAGGACCTTAGACGCATCGCTTAACTACAATCCATATTTTCTATATGGGGGGAGTTCACAGTAAACGAACTTCGGATACGGAAATGAGTGGATGGATAACAAAGATAGCCTACATAGTAGCCGCGGAACTGGTCGCACCTTCTTCAAGTAGGTTACGTTCAGAAAGGCACCGTTGAGGGACGCTTTGTGGGCATTTTGAGAGGTCATCCTACTCGTAGTTAGTTTCCTGTCCTGTTCTCTGCTTATCAATGTTCGCTTACAGACAGTGTTCGCGATAGCAATCGGTGCCGGACTGCCGACAAAAAGAAAGTAAACAAAACAAACCTCGACGTTTTGCCGTAGCGGGGTCAAATATATAACAAGCAAAAAAAATTCTTTTGTGCCCACTTCTCACTTTTTTCTATTTGTTATGTGTTTAACACTGAAGTCTGCATTGTTGTCGTGAGTCGTTTCCCGTTCTGCGTTGCGCCTCAGTGTGGCAATCTGTTATTTCCGCAAAGCCACCCTTTTTGATTGAGAATTTTTTGGGGGAAACTTTAGGAAAAAGGCACCTTTGAGAAAGCGAGGGGAAAACCTTCATTGTACGACCTTTGCGATGAAATATGAGTCACAATAAGAAGCGATGTTTTCACGAGTTCAATCTAGGTCACCGTAGCTTATCGGAGCTAGCAACAGGATTTGGTCGCTCGATAGAATATTCACGTTTGCTCGTACCACGCCCACGCCACTTCATACCGAAAAACTCGGAACGCGGAACGTCAAAAATGTATTTGAGATAATTGGTACAATATACTCAGAAATTTAATTAAAGTACAGTACCAAATACTCTCGCTCAAAAGTATTTGCCAGATACCAAGATACTTCAAAAAGTATTTCAAATACAGTATCTTGAGTAGAGTATTTAAGATAGGCACAAGTTTGAATTGATGAGTGGCCACCCGTAGTTTTCTTCTGTGTGCGTTTTAATGGTCTGAATGTGAAACTATTTTCGCATGTTCGGAATTTCGTGCGATTTTTGGTTGGTTTTTCACCCATGCGTTCCTGCCTTTACACGTTGGAGCCCTCACAATAATTTACTCTTGGATACGTGTGTGTGTGTGTGTGTGTGTGTGTGTGTGTGTGTGTGTGTGTGTGTGTGTGTGTGTGTGTGTGTGTGTGTGTGTGTGTGTGTGTGTGTGTGTGTGTGTGTGTGTGTGTGTGTGTGTGTGTGTGTGTGTGTGTGTGTGTGTGTGTGTTTATTCCTCGTCTATAGGTAAAAAGCAGGGGACTCTCAGTGTCCTTCGTTAAAAATAATATCGCAGAAAATCCGCAGTTATTCGGATGTAAACATGTAAAAAGAACTATATAAAGAACGCATATAAATCTCTCATATTAGAAACTGGTGACATCCCTCATCGCGTTAGATCTGCAATTGGCAACCAAGAGTGATATCGATCGCCCTTCTAGGCCTTGTGGTTACTCTTTTTTCTTATTTCTAGGGAGGTGGAAGGGGCAATGATATCCCACCTCAAACTAATCTCCCCTAGCGTTCCTTGATTCCACATATTTCCGAATAAAGACCGCGTCAAGGCACGCTCGCAACCTTTCAAGCAAGTCATCCACGTAGCTCAACCACTCGTATCTAAACGTTTCAAGGTGCCTGTTTTAGAAACCCGCAGTTTATTCTCTTGTTATCGATGTTTTACTACGGGGAATTTTCGTCGACTCGATGTTTAGTCCCCTTGGAAAAAGCCATCTCAACGTCGGTCTTCCCCCCGCCTTCTACGTGTCGAGGTCCCGGCAAGGACATCTACGTCCCCGATGACATTGAACACCTTCATGCGTCGATTGCGGTTGGCGGGTCGTTCGTCCGTGGCTCCAAAACAACTCATCGTGATGACCTTGGACGGGGTTCTTTCACTTCTTGCGCTTCATGTAGACCAGAACAGAATGCAGACCGTGAAGTACTGCGCTGATTGTAGCGAAAACCTGCGGAATAATTGTTGTCTTACGTTAATTACGACGAAAAAACACGAACTATTCGCAAACTTTTAGAATTTCGCTGCAATTCAGTCTTTATAATATACCCGTTCCCTTTAACTTATAACCATGCAGTTTCATTGTACAGTGCTCACCACACTTATACGGAACACATATTGTATCTTGAGTATTGTACATTGAGCGAATTTCAGTTTGAGACGTCAATAAAATTATAATGTTTTGTGTGTTCATTAAGGCAATGAAATATTGATTATGAAAGGAATGTTTTTTTTTTTTTTTTCTATTCGAAGGAACATTCTCAGAAAGTATTCCCAGAAAGGAAACGGGACTTAAAGTCACAGTCTCGACCAGGTGTGGAGACCGTGACGCGCTAATTGGCCACGTGGAATGATACTGAAGAGTTTTAGTATAGGGGGCCCCAACGTATTGGATCCCCCGAGAAGTTTGGGGCGTCGCAAAGAGCTTGCGCAGTGCAGCGCTCCAAGCTGCTCGGGGGACCCAAAGCTTTGGGGCCCCCTAGTTGAAGCTAGTAGAAAATAACAGTCTTAAGTTTGCAGCGATAACACGGAGTTTTAGTAAATCCTCTTTCGCGGCCACGGTATTACGACCGGATACCTAACGCTGCCACAACCAAGTATGCCCGGGCGGGCAGCGCACTCGAAGCGGGATCAGGGTCCCACTAATATAATGTCAGAGAATTCCCGGTATCTGCCGTGTTCGCAAAATAAGCTAGCTCAACTGTCCGTCCCAGCTTTTGAGCCGTGAGCACTGGATGCCACAGATTCTTAGAGGCTGCCAATGGGTTGCCTGTTCGATACACGTGGACAACTCTCTGTGGCATTTCAGTAGAAGCGAAGAGTGCTCGTGCAAAGCTTTGATCGGGGCTCCAGGTGCTCGAGCACCCCTCTATATAGCTTTGACTGCATAGCCACAGAAAGTTGACCAGGAGTATAAAGCCCCTCCATGCACGAGGCGTGTCCTGTGCAGTCCTTCAGAAGAGCATAGAGGAGGAGCACTGAACCGAAGCAGTCAAGGCGTAAGGCTGTTCTTCCCTGAACTCGCTACGGCACGTGTCGCACGTGTTTGCACGTCCACAAAAGGGTGCTACTTTCACCTGCCTAAGGCTTTAGGCGTCTCTGCTGGTAATAGCAATGAACTTTGAGGTTCGCTTGATTACGGAAACGCGTGAAGTTATTATGGAAGCTTGCTCAAGGGCGACGCTAAAGGCGCGGCTTTAATAACTACTGTGGGCGTGCTCGAGCGATTCGGAAGGACGATAAAAAGCAGACAATCTCTCTTGAAACTCGCGTGTACTAAGCCACTTAGCGTCTGGACGAAGTCTGATCATCGTTCGATAACGTGTATCTCGAGGGCGAGAAATAAGAGAATAAAACTTACAGTATGCCGTGTATACGTGCGTGTTCGCCGTGTATCCCGACCTATTGAGCTCAAACAAATGCGGATGCAACCGGAGGCACCGGCAGGAGAGGGCCGAGCGGCGAGTAACGGAGAAGCGCAGGACGCATGGAAGCGACAGACTGGGCGCGGTCGCAGACCAGAAAAGACGCTTTTCATAACTCGAACCGATTGTAACCTAAGCAGTTAAATAAATATATTGTTGCATTATCATAAATTAACCGGTACATCACGCAGCATGTATAAGGATAATCCGCACCCTCTCGCCATATGAACCTGTCTTTTAAGGCAGCATAGCTATTTTTGTCGCACGGAAAACGTTACCTGGTAAACAACAGAAAAGCAAAATGGGAATACACTGTAAATGATTTCACTGCTATAACCTATGTTTGAGTTTCTACCTGAAACGATATGAGCGCACTTTGTCAACAATGTGCGGACAGTGCTTATTCAATGACATGCTACATATATGTATATTTGGGAGTAGAGCTCTTTCAAAGTAGAATGCAAATTGTATAAATTAAAATGGACTACTGACCCCAGCGGCGATGGCCACGGACTGGCTTGTTTCCAAAGCAAGAAGAGATATTCCACCGCTGAGGTAGAAGACGAGCCCGAAAGCTTGAAAAAGGACGTACTACCCCAACGGAAAAGAGAAAAAGAGAAACAGAGAAGTGCACTGTTGTCTTTCATTTTAATACTTCGGAGATAATGCTGTGGCTACGAGCGTGCTGCATTAGGAATGTCTATAGGGTTGCACAAGCGCTTGAGAGGAGGGAAAGCAACCCAAGGAGTAGGCGCTCACACCTGTCTCTTCTGTGGTCACAAAGCACGAAGTGCGTTGCGTTGCTTAAGCTATCAGTGACCAAGAGTGACCTTAAAGGTTGATATAATCAGAAGGTACATACAAATCTCCACAAAAATTCTAAAGTTCACACTTTGATCAGGCTGGAGCGAAAGGCTGTTTTGTCTTGCAGCTTTTCATGTGCTACCCGGATAGGTGTTGTCCAGTTGCACGCGTTAACGTGCAGAGGGACAACTTTTTCTTTAGCTGAGCTGAAAGGGGGTGCACTCTAAGAACAAAATGAAAGGCGTGCAAGTGTTTCCCTTTTCTGCGGAACACACAGATAGCCAATCAATGGAAACATCGGTAGGGTCCCCGCGCTGAGGATGTTCGAATACGTTAGACCTGAAATAATGCGATGTGCGCTGGGACAATGTTCATAACGTTTCACTCGCTCATTGTTCCCGCGAACATCTCAGTTTTCAATGTAATCGTAGGCCGTGCTTCACCATTCGGGGGGATTTTTCCGCTTGTTCGCAGTGATTGGCTACCTTCTTGTTCAGCAGTGAATTGAAGCACCAGGCGTTTTTCTTAGAAATTGGAGGTTCAAGGGTTTGCGGAAGCCTGTTGATAATTTGGGCTGGTCGGCATAGCTTAGTCCGAAATTAACAGGAAGGTTATACTATTGGAAACGTACCCTAGCCATCCAAGTAGAGGCGACAAAAGTGCCAAACATCTGATTAGTTACAAATTTATAGTATTATTCGTTCATCTGCCGGCCAGCCCAAATTCTCGTTTTATGCTTGTTATGTTTGGTACCCACACGCGCAAGAAAAAAACAGCAAAAATCCGGCAGATATATAATGCTCTTGTAGCTTCGGCATTTGCATGGTGGTTGTTTTGTCTATTACCCACGGCGGCACCTATAAACATACTTTATTAGGCTACCTTTTATCCTTCCCGTGTTGCACCTGTTTTGCTAGTAATACAAGAAAAAAAACGTTTTTTTTATTTTATTGCAAAGAGGAACTATGCATCACAAACGCTCATTCCCAGCTAAAATTTAGCTGTAACAGTCCGAAACAGATGACAAAATTTTAGAACCAGCTATTATCTCATTCAAAATTTATAAGTGATTTTCTAAACATTTTGTTAGAAAATGGGGCCCGTTTTCGCCCGTTTTCCTTAACTGGCGCCCATCCCGTTCTGTGTAATCAGCCGTCGGTTTCCTTATTGAAAATTTCAGAAAATCCCTTATGACTTCTTTAATAAGGTAACGGTTAGTTCTGAAAATATGTCAGCTGGTTCGGACGACTAGCGCTACACTTGGGGGGAGAATGAGCGCTCGGTGATGCGTAGTTTAATTTTGCGGTAAATAAAACAATGTACATATTTTTGGGGGACACCCTCTGCATCGTCACGGAGTTAATATTCTCTTAACGGGGTCGTATACTCACAAAGAATGTGCTTGTGACGAGCAGTCCCGTGCTGGAGAGGAGCGCCGAAGTCAGCACGAGCAGTGAAACAAACCAATAGAGAAAGGAGACGATGATGACGTAGACGACGCTTGGGTCTGGCTCCGCTCGCACCACGAGACGAGACAGCTGGTAGACGTAAATGCGGCTGCAGTATGCCAGCGCGAACGTGATAACGCCAGTCAGCTGCAGAGAGGAGTAACGAAGACCGGACGAGAACATTGACACCACACACTTGAGAGAAAAAACGCGGGCAAGGAGTTCACGAGTTCCACGACGGTATATATTCTGAGAGAACGCGGAACACGTAGTAGTTTTTCGCGCCCAACTCTCCGGATCTATTATTAGATAACGGCTCACCTGCCTTCGGTGACCCCGTTCATTATTTTGTTTTCTGCGTTCAGAAAGTAGACCAGCTGCATTCGTATTGGCGTTTCCAGACGTCTGGTGTACTACAAGTGATACCTTACGTTTCTGCCCAATGAAGCACCGATTTGAGCACAGGGAAGCATAGCTGTGTAGATTTTGTTTTAGTTGTTTGTCTTAGAACAAATAAGCTTTTGTAATTCAGTCAGCATTTCGTTGATATTGAAAGATTGCGCTGAATTTTGTCACTCACATTGTTGCACTAATTGGTTGGATAAATTTGAATGATTGGGATTTCCCCAAATTTTCGCAAGTGAAACAAACCTCCGCGCATACGTCACACCAGCCTCTCAAAAAATGTTTGCTGAAGCCGAAGAAAAACACAAAGTAGTCTGCTTTGTCGAGGAGTACTGCTGGGTTTCCGTTGTTTCGTGTTTGCAATAGGCTGACTGCAGAAGTGACAACAATTTATTGATCATTTCCACCTCTGACCAGAAACAGGGCACAGAGTTTTTGTAAGCCTCTTGGGAACGATCGAGTCTGTGGAAAACAATTGCGTGGTCTGCTTATTTCTTGTCGTGGCCGACGCGTTACTCTTTTATGTTAACTTCCTAAACGAGTTCCCACGTCTACTTCGAGCATCATAACTTGTATGTCTGAACAGATATACCAAGATTATACAGACTCCGATTCAAACGATTAGTGGAGCAGAGCATGCAGCGTGGAGCGTCTTCATTGCCAGACTCCCAAATAATATTCGGGGTAAGTGGCAGTTCGAAATACCCGTGTGACACACACTGGTACAATATCTATAGTCCATTGCAACCTAAGAACGAAGGGCGAGGGTAAGACGGGCCGGGGAGGAGGAAGCAGACGGAACGCTAGAGAGAGAAGGGGGTTTCCCCTTCTCTAGCGTTCCTAAATCGAGCCTTGGATAGCAATGTCATGTGTCATTGAAGTGGAAAGCCTAGAGCGCGGGCGATATTTGGTAAGCTTAGAGCTCAAAGTCTAAAAATAATTTTCATTTTATCTAAATTTTTATGACATCTAGATGAACCTTCCAGACACCTCTGGTGTTTTGTAGCGCTCGCGCTCAACGTCTCAGAATAAGAGGAACGTTGCTTTTTGGACTTTGGTGACATTTAACCGAACCCTCCAGATTTTTCTAGATACGTAGAAGGATCAAAGCCGTGTCCACAAATGCTACGCGTCTCTTTAGGCACTCGTACGTTTGCTTTATACGTGACGGGAGAAAATAACACCCTTGGATAATGATTCGCTCGGGTAGAAAACGATACCTCTGTCAGGAATTGACTCGTGGTGCAAATAATAGATCTGAAACTGTGTGTAAAACAGACGGACAGATTCAAAATGCGATATCCACATGGAAGTGCCTAAAACCAATTTTATAAATTTGCGACTTTCAGCGACGGTGGTAGCGCTGTGTGAGATCTCGCGCTCCCCAGCTCCTGTATAATGGGCTTCAGAATAAAGGTGCCTGTACACACCTTCCTGACGTGAAAAAATAAACAAAGGTTCTAATGCTGCTCGTATACAGCAAAACTAAAAGTACTTACGCGTCGGAGACCCAGCCTCGATCGTGCTGCTCTTCTACGATGATCATTCAGATGATAGTCGTTTTGATCTAGTTTTGATAGGCACCAGTGCGCCGCGTATAGGTCGAGAAAATTCAGAATAGAATCCTGATTTTCAACGTTCATGCATGTGGCGCGTGCTTCGCTCGCTTTCTGATGCGCATCTTCAAGGTGACATGGTAACCCAGGAGCGGGGAAAAGAACGGAAGGTGTTCCATCTTTTTCTTTTCTTGGTTTGTTTGGGCTACAATTCTCTTGGTCGTAGCCTTATTTAAGGATGATTCGGCCTAGTGAGATTTCAGCTGCGTTTGCCTGGAGCTCTGTGTTGTCCGTCCAGTTTTTCTCCCGCTCCTGGGTTACCATGTCAGTTTTGAACGAGCTCGCCTGCACACTTGCTTTAGTTTCAACAATTCCTCAAAGCACTCGCTTAACCGCGAGGGAAATTGACAAAACGGGGTGAGAAGATCTTCCGCACCCGCCCTACACGTCATATCTGACTTCTTTCGACTTTTATCTGCTTGGATGAGAAGGATCAGATGCAAGGCCAGTGCTACGAGACCCCAGATGGTATCCAGGCACTGTGGCGGGTCACTGCATGTCTCCCCAAGGCCGGAACGGATTTCTATTGGAATCATTTTTTCAAACTTCAAGACAGTGCGTGCGAAGAAATAGAAACTATGTAAAAAAATAAACAAATGTCCGCAAAAAAAAAAAAAAAAAAAAGGACGCAATCTCGGTTTTATTGATGCATTTGTGAAATAAGGTGAATCATTACGTACCAACCTTGTACAAGCATTCAACATCCTATTTACGTTGAAAGATACGTAAAACCTGATATAAACAGTTTCAAGATGACGATTGAACTAACGTAACCTCTATAGGTCCTGCGTACCTCCACCGGTCTATAACAGCGCAAAAAAGTGCAGGGCGAACTTCCGGTATGTGTTTTAAACAGGGTTGGGCAGAAATACTCAAAAATGTATTTGGAAATACAAATACTGGGATACATTAAAATAGTAGCTAAAATACTGATACTAAGATATATCTGTAAAAATGTATTGCGATACGTATCGGAAATACATTTTAAAAAGAGGCAAAAAGTATTTGGAAATACAAATACAGGAATACAGTTTAGGGAGGGCAGAAATACAAATAAAGAAATACTGATAGTGCAATACATTTTTCAAATTTTTTGAGACGCCAACTGAGATGAAGCTTGAAGTCTGAAGTGGATGTTTTCGATCCCGAAATTACTTTCCTGTAGGCTTGGCACTGTAGGCTTGGCACTAGGCTTGGCACCACTTGAAGTTAGTGGTTAATGGTTTTGGACGACAAGGAGTCTTCAATGGGCCCAAAAAAACGTTCCATCAAGGGCTGACCGCGGTCCCTTCTATGACATCCTGTCTGTCTGACGAGAGAACCCTGTCAACATTGATCACATGATGTCACGGTGGAATGAACTAGTATTCTTTATCTGTAGGTCTGGTCTTGAACATGAAACTTTACCACGCTGCTGTATGAAAGGACAATACGTACTTTCGTTGTAGGTTACCTATTTGAAGATCGTGCATGCAGTGTCATTTGGAATTTTTGAGATTAGTGGATCACCTGAAGCATCTTGGAATACATGTCTTATCTTCTGTTACGGTTGAAAAAACGATACGGTAGCATCCCTGTTCTGAAGGTCCTTACTACCGACCCTCCGCCACCGACGCACGGATTGCAGTCCTCAAGTTTTGCCTAGCATTATCCAAACAGAGACCTCGTGGATTGCGAGCTAATATTGCCGGCACAGGTGCGAGCTGTCCGAGAAACAGCGGTCTCGAGACGAGTCGCGAAAGTACGTAGTCTGGGATGGCACAGCGAGGCCACTTCTGGCCTCCTTCTAGGTTTCGGATCACCAAAGCAGCGGATCAAGTTCACGTCGGCTGATGACATACCCTTGAGCCGTGCAATGTTACGGGCGCAGTCGGAGATGCATTCGAATATGTGTTGAACTTCACAGCGTGAGACTTCCTACTATTTCAAGTCAACCACCGCCAGGCTCGTGCTGCAACGAAATGTGACTCAGCTTTGCCGGCTGTGTGTATTCTGTACGCTAAGGCGAGAGAGACGGCTAGCAGCGGGCATTGGATGCCAGCAAACAATGACTCAAGAAATCCCTACCTAAGGACCTGCGGCCGAAGATGCTCTGACTCCACTCCTGGCACGCCACGTGGTTCGAGTCCCCGACTACGTAACACTTCTTAGAAGAGAGAAGGGGACGCATAGAACAATTGTTTGCAGAATCAAAAGGAACTTTGGTCAGCATATGCCCCAGCACCTCCGTGACTCTGGTGCCCTCAGAAGTAAAAAAAAAAAAATGCTTTCATACTTGTTTTTTTTTTTTTTTTGGGGGGGGAGAAGGGGGGGGGGAGTATTTCTCAAGAAATGCAACGAAATACATTATATCATTATTGTATCGCGATACAAAGAAACATTCCAGATGTATTTCGATACAGGAATACAGATACTGGTGAAAAAAATGTATCGCGATACAGAAATACAGATACGAAATGTATTTCTGAAATACTATCGCGATACATTTGTATCGCGATACTGCCCAACCCTGGTTTTAAATAGGCCTCACTCGTTATCGAATGGGGGAGTACACAAAGGGAGGGCCGACTGATGCAGGTGTAGCAAAAATATTGAAAATCTGAGACACAGAGTAAGAATGAGACAGAAATAGGTCCTTTCTTGTTTTGCATTTTATTTTCTCGTTTTTGTTTATTTTTTTTTTTATGTTGTACGCTCATCGCCGCGGTACTGTAGTCAGTGTTCTATTAATTTCTAATGTGGAGAACGCTGGTTTTTAAGCACCGACTCATTGTTGATAAACAAGCTTGTGGTCTAGTAAGGCACGTTGTTGGGCTAGTTGGTTTTTCTATCGAGATCATAGAGTTAATATAATAATCTAGAGTGAAAGGTCCCATGCATTTGGCCGCATCGGAAGGGCATGGACGCGGATATCGGCGGTACCAGTTGGCGGTCCCGATGAGCCCACATCTCTGGCGACACCTTAATATGCACAAAGAAGCTGCAAAACATCACTTGTAAGGTCTGTACCTTGTTATTTCGTCTTAGTTTGCCAAAAAAACACCCGAACCATGCATTGACAAAATTAAGTAAAGTTGACAAGCGCCCGAACAACTTCAACTTGTCGCGCCAAAACGAACGGTCTGCTTTGTTTCTCTTCTCTTTTGTCGCTTTATTTCTCGTTCTTTCTTTTGGGACTGGAGATGTTAACTCCCAATATTTTCCGCGTTCTGCTCCCGTCTTTACCCGCCTATTCGAGATCGTGCCGGCGTATCCGTCGGAGCCATTCATGACGCCGACGAAGCGACTGCTCCAGCGTCGCCTTGTCCTGCTTCTCAATGATTACCGGGAGTCTAGAAAATCCAATACTGCTGGCCGTAGCTCCGTTTTCTCGCCGACTTTTACGACTGTAATAATTAATTACGGCGGAAGTGACCATTTTAAACCTCGAGTAGCGGACAAACTACAGTGCGAAAACGGCAGCATAACCGCTCATTCACACTGGAAGCGGGTCCGCGTTCACAAAGCGGTTGCGAACGCGGTTGTATAAAGATCCAGTACAATTGTATGCACGCGCACTCGATGACATCAAGTGCGCGTGCAATTGTACTGGATCTTTATACAACCGCGTTCGCAACCGCTTTGCGAACGCGGATCCGCTTCCAGTGTGAATGAGCGGTAACAGCGACGAATGCCTCCAACATGGATTCCGGCGGATTGCGGTGAGATTTACAAACCACTGGCGGCGTTGCATCATGGTCTCGTGCAAGAACTAGTGATGGGCCGAATTTTTGTCCGAATCAAAAATTCGGCGCCGTATCTTGAGACTTGGCAAAGCCGAACATTTTCCGAACATTTTTAAAGATTCAACAAAAATTCAGCAAACATACATTGTTGCCAGGCAGAAAAACTGTAATATCGTTTTTAGGTTTTTTTTTTAAATACCTATTGACACAGTTATTACTAAGTAAGGTTATATTCTACAAGATAACTGTATCGGTGTAATATTTGTGTGTTTACTGATATTTTTAAAGTGACTTTTTGCAGAACTGGTGTGACAACGGGGTTGGTAGTAGCGCCGCAGTCACGATGCGCGAGTTTCGGTTTTGAGGCCTCGTCAGCGCAAACCTACAAGTGTGCATTGTTGAAATAAAGGCTGTAACACTGTGTTCTTCCTTTCTCTGCGAGTCGCCGTTTCGTAGGCGAAAATGAATGCAACGGCTGCAGAGCCTTCACAAGAAAAGATAACAACGTTATAGTAGGAAATGCACATGTTTTTCCATTTGACTCACTTCAGCTATGCATGAAAGTGTGCGTCCCATAATCGCAACATCTCGTTTTTAACTTTTAAAATGCTGGTTTTTGATACACGTCGGGCGTTGAGGAAGATGGAAAGAGTCTGGAATGTTGGATGTGCAACGCCGACCATGATAGTTCTGTGTTTAGTTTTATGCGGATAGATGGAAAACAGCGAAATAACGCTAATTGAAAAGCAGTGTTATTTTGCTTTGGAACAAACTGCTTGTAGGCCGAAACCAGGGTGCTATACTGGCGAGGAGTGTTTTAAAGTACTTGTCAGTCAACGTTGCAACTACCTCGTTGCATCACTGGAAAGATCCAATGAAAATCACGTTGACACGAATGTACCGCATCACTTGTCACTTGCTCAGTGGACTGCGTCGTTTTTGCGTCAAGTTCTGGTCGATCTTCTGTTCTTCAGGCAGAAAATATTGAAGAGAACCACACTCACAAAGGCTGACAAACACACAGTTACCACGTCGCCTACTCCGCACCTTGCCGTAACCGCTGGTAAGTAGTACTACACTGTACGATGGTAACCGCACGACCGCACGGCGTCCATTTGCAATCCGTCGTGTTCTCGCGCGTGTGCAGACCTTTGTCGAATCTTTGCCGAACTTCCCTTCAAAAGTTCGGCTTGCGCCGAACTTTGCCGAATCTGAAGTTCGGCAGATTCGGTCCATCACTAGCAAGAACCATACCTATACGAGTTCCTTTACGCTCGGCGTCGACTTCCTTGCGAGATGTCTTGAGGCCTAGCTTTCCGCAGTGCTGTCAGAGCTACTCGCGCGCGCGCGTGGCTTTGTTTGGCGTCACTTTCGCACGATAACGCGTACGAATGAGACGCAAGACAAAAACACGTGACACACAGGAGTGCGGGGATGGAGCACTGGGAAAACTACACCATTCTCGAGAAAGTCGCATAAAAAAGTTGACTTTCGCACCGTTGGCGCCATCTCCTTACTCGCGCCCAGTATTTTTGTTTACATTTTCTTCGCCATGCTCTGGGAGGTTCCCGATGCAATAAATGCCTATACCCAAACAAAAGACAGAGAAAACATAGAGGCGCCCTATTCGGAACCAGAACCATGCGATGCCGACATCTGGTGTTCGAGTTTTCAAGTCTAGTGTGGGGTGAGTAAATATCGATCGGCGAAGTAGTACCGCTACATCCATGGCCTTCTTTCCGTTCTTTGTACATAACCATTTGATGTTTGGCTTCCCTAAGGACCAGAAAGACGATATTACGTTCACTCGGAAAAAAATAAAACGTCACGCTCACGATTTCGGCGATTGTCAGTACTCCGCCCAGGGAATTGAGGAATCCGAGCGAAACCACGAACGAGAACGGCGGCAGTTCGTCGTCCGCTTCGGCGAACCAAACGTCAAGCTTGGGGAGACCCATGATGGTTTCCGACTGCTCGGCCAACACGTCGTCTGCTAGCGGCGGGCGCCGGCGCCGGCACTCCTCGCACGCCCACTCCCTGCCCGAAACAGTTCAGCTGGCTCCCTTTGTTTTGTTTTTTCTCGTGGGAGTTTGTTATTGCTGTACGCGGTACCCCCGTTCCAAGAAAGAAAGAATAAACACGTCTTCGACGGCACGAGACGAGCGACGATGATTAACCGCCACGAACGCCCTCCTCGGCGTAAGATGGCGTCGATTGCACAGCCACCGGAACCGGATGTGAAGTCAGAGCGGAGGAAGCGGGAAGGGGGGGGGGGGGGGGGGGGGAGGGGGCGGGTTCCGGTTTCGTTGGCGTACGCAGCATAGACATCCCATGGTGTCGCTACCACCAAGGTCAGAATCGAGAAAGATCCCTTGGACGTGGAGCTGGTTTCTGGAAATTTAGTCACGCGCACGCTTCACAGCTGATATTCGCTAAATCCGATTTTCGCGAATAAGCAAAATATATCCCACGCTTTCTTTGTCTAACAAAATTAAATTACACAAAAAAAAACACCTCAGATTTTACCCAAGTCTTTATGGATTTTATGCAATTTCGTCATTTTATGTATTCAAAGTCAACAAGTTGGTTAACGGCGATGTTGTCGTTCCCACAGCATGGGCATGAGATTATATTTGACCCGGTCACTGAAACGCCAAGCGAGTGTCTGTTCAGCGCACGCAGCAGTGACTATTGTGTACACACAAAGAAGCTCGTTCCTGCCGGAGGATATAAACAAACTCTTTTGCTTCCACAACTAGAGAAATACGCTGTAAGTCAAATACAAAAGCGACATAAAGGTTGAAGATACATACATTGCGCTGTTTATAACATAATTTAAAAAAAAATCCGCAAAGGCGAGAAGTGTAATTTTGCTGCTTTTTTAATATATAATGCCCGGAAATCAGCGCGACCGATTAATATATTATTTTTTTTTTATTAAAGAGTGGCAATTAATCGGGTTAAAATTTTAATCAAAGCCCAGCCCTTTTTAACCCTAGCGGACAATCACCGTGCTGACGCGAAGATTCTCAACACTAATATCCTTTGAGTCGATTAATCGGACACTTCTATTTTGAACAGTTTGAATAAAGAAGGATGCCCGTGTACTATCACGGACAATAGGTGTGGGAACCGCAGTCGTGGTAAAAGACTAGATCGAGTCTTCATTGTCTCTTATATTATGCGTGGGTGTACGTGAATCATTACCTGCACACTCATGTGCTGCATGGACTCTCTCCACGGCGAACACATTGAAACAACTTTCCTACGTTCAGTTGTTCCAAGAAAAATAAAGTGAAAACAATATTTGAAGCAAGTCTATGTTTTTTTTTTAACGAGGAAAAAAAAAAAAAGAAAATGAAACGCACACACTAACTCAAGCTTTTTCATTGTTGCACGCCGGAACTGGTGCGCGTTAGGTGGCATAACACTCACTGTACACAAGGGTTCTTCATTTCTACGGTGCGCTTGATAAACAGCGTAATACGGAGAGTGCAATACACTGTAAGTCATGAGTTGACACACTAAGACACGCTTCAAGGTGCCTCAATTAGGGTCCTATTATTCCAACACGAGTATAAGGTCACGCTACGGATTCGAACATCGTAAACTCAAATCCGCTATTTGAGTATTTCATTATTTATTCATTTATTTTACTCAGGGTCAAATGGATTGCAGAAGGGGGAGTGTTTTTTTTAAAGATATCAACATAGGAAACATACACATGTTTCCAACAATAGGAACAAAATATACATTAGTTAAACAGTGAATGCAACTAAACAATGGTTAAGCAAAAGAAAACGCGCGGGATTACTAAGTGCAGTAGAAAAAAGAGCGGAATCGACAAGTAATGCAAGGGGTGTAGATAGGTGATTCCAATCATTCGATACTCAAAGAATGAATGATGCTTAAAATACGTTATAACGACAAAATGGGATGCCAACCTAGTGTTGATGATCGAGGCTGAAAGAAATGACGGAGAATGTATTAGCTCATTTTTGAGCGCTGAGTTATGGTGGAAAATTTTGTGAAAGAGACGAAGGCTTGAGATTCTGCGACAATGTGGGAGGCTGGGAAGATGTAGCCTGTCTTTCATTGATGTTATATACTAGCGGTGCGGTAATAGTTAGTCAATATGAAATGTACGGATTTGTTCTGGATGGATTGAACTGAGTCAATAAGCTAAGTAGTACCGGGATTCCAGACAGAGGCTGCATATTTACGTTTCGACAGCACCAATGTTTTATAAATGTCAACTGCAGCACCCTACCGGACGTTTACAGGGTTTTATAGGATGGGTAGACTGGTTGGCCCTCTCCATCATTGCCCTATATATGTGCGCCTAGTTTTTGTGCGTGAACGGTTGCTTTCATTTTTCAGCGGCGAGATTTTTTTTTTGTGTTGTTGCTTATTTTTTTGTGACAGTAGAGCTATCCTTGTGTTTTGTCTGGCCGGCACGCGTTGGTAATGCAGTTGTACTTCAAAAAGCGGAGGGAGTTGTGTGCTGTGAGGAAGCTTTAAAAGCTGGCAGGCCGCAACTACGCCAACAGTAGAACAGTGAGCCACAACGCCCGTTTTCCTGTAAATGAAGCTTGCTCCATTTTGAAAAAAATGACAATGTAATCCACCTGGAATCTCTGATCATAAGCAGTATGGAAAATTGTTGATAATACTAACTAATTGTGTTTCACAAAAAAAAAAGTCTTTCTAACACCATGTTGAGCTGTGAAAGAAATTTATTTGGATTGAAGAAAGTTTACAAGTTGTGAGTAAATTATGTGTTCAGAAACCTTACAAGGAATGCCAGTTAGTGAGCTTTGTCTGTAATTATTAGGGGAGTGCTTGTCGCCAGCTTTGAACAGAGGTATTACCTTTACAATTTTCCAGACATTATAAAAAACTGCTGAGCCGAGTGATAGTTTAAATATACATGTAAGTATTAGGCATGTGAACTGATTTGTTGCTTTTAGAATTTTTTTGTTTATTTCGTCCGTACCTGTTGATGAAGACAGCTTAAGGCCGTGTATAGTTTTGGAAACGCCATCAGGAGTAATAAAAATATGATCCATTAATGGAAAAGCGTTATCATGGTAAAGGGAATCTGCATTAAGGATTGGGAAAACACTTGATGAAAATTTAATTAAAGAAAGCACACAAGGATTCTTTAATGCGAAATGTTTGAGTGAAACGACAGATGCGTCTTGAGGCCAGACACAATATTCCAAAACTGTCGAGTATCATTTAGTAACATTGAAGGCAAGGTCTGGTGAATGAAGTAAGCTTAGCGCTTTTAATAGCATTTTTGAAAGAAACAGTAGCGTCGACGTATTTCTGCCAGTGCCACTGGATAGAGCGCAGCTTTGGGGACTTTAGCGTTTATTTTTGTTAGAAAATCTTAGGAGCACTCTGTTGAACCATGGTGAACAGGAATCAGCAAATATTGTTTTAAAAGGCATATACTTCTCAGAAAGAGACTGCATCTTTTATTTAAGAAGGGTCCAATTTGTCTCGACAGAGCTCTCCAAAAACTCTTCAAAATAATAATTCAGGAAATCACACAATTCAGCATCAATAGCGTCATAATTGGGTCTGCTATAATCACGAATAACCTTTTTCTGATTATTTTACTACTCAACGATGCAAAAGTTAGCAACAAATGATCAGTAAGGCCTGGAAGATACGTTACTTGGCCGACAAGATTAGGAATATCAGTCAGAATGAGGTCCAATATATTCGATGTGGCGGCCGTCGTTCTATAGTTGGCGCGGTTACTAGTTGATGCAAATGAAACTCGAAGAGCGCGCCTAAAAAAATTAAGGAATCTGCTGAAAAAGGAGTAGTATAAGGACTATCTGAGCTCCAAACAGTGTTGGGGAAGTTAGTCACCCATTAACAGTAGAGGCGTTCTTGGAAAACGAGCTATAATAATTTTTAACACTTCATATAGTAGTCTATAAGAAAAGTCAGGAATCATGAAGGCGGGTGGTAACAAGATGATTAAAATGATTTAAGATCGCTCGGTCGGCATCGTAATAGCCTTTACGGGCATCGGGGAACAAGGTGTTATAGCCATAAAGTCCATGCGCCAAAAAATAAGTTTGACGACTCAAATTCGTTAGCAAACCTTCGCATTAAATACTAGAAGCATCATAAATGTTTTTTTTTTCCCAGAATGCCTTGATTATACAGTTCGATCCTTATTATGTCTTTTATTTAAATGGTCGTTATAGGTCACTCGGTGCCATGATGACATCACGCGACGAAAACATAAGTTAAATATTGAAGGCATAAATGCAGGCCGGATTAAGATATTTTGGGGCATGCAGAGGCGGTGGCAAATTTCGCGCGCCGTCAAGACGGTGTTTCGTTTTAGTTTATCGGTATGTTGTGCTGATCCCTGGTCATTCGTTTTGTTTTAGCGCTTGCACGCTACATTGTTCCGTCTACTACGAACGGAGTTGCATATCGCCCCCGGCAGGTCGTTGACCGCGGTCCTTGCTCCTCACCCCGGGGGGGGGGGGCAGACACACAAGTTACGCGGGCTCTCGCGGGGCACCGGAGTGCGGCTATCAACGGCTGGCGCGCCATTTCGTAAGATGAGCCGCGTCTCGAGCTCGAGCGACTTCGTCGAAAACTTCGGGCCATGTTCCAGTGTTTCGTGACTTCGACTGGAAAGGCACCGGGCGCAACTGGTGTAAACGCGCCAGCGCGGACCCAGCATCGTGGAATTCTCCACGAAACAGGCTCCCAGGCACGCCTTTCGTTTATGTTAAGGCTCCTGTCCGCGCTCCGGGGTGAGGGGACGTTTGCTGGTAAGGCAAGTTTCGACGATTCTCGCTAAAACCGAGAACCAGTGGATCTTGCTTGAAACATAAACATATCAGGGTTTAGGCTCTCAACCGCAGGGTCGATCTTAATGACCCCCTCGGCAATAGCAATGAACTCTCGCGCGACCGGTCGAGAGTGCGTCGGGGCCTCGACCCAATGGGATGCGGACGAAACCCTCAATGGACAGTGCGGCTTCCGGCACACTGTCTTAAGCCCTGACCGAGCGTGTGAGCCTCGAGTTTGAACGGGCTTGCGGGCCCCGGACTGTTTTCCTCCCTCGGTTCGCCGCGTTACTTGCCGTACGCGGCAGCCCTTGTTCGCCGGCTACTTCGCCATCGTCCTCACTGTGCGCGGTAGGACACTTGACTTCGTGTCTCGCAA